AAAAAAAAAAAAAAAAAAAAACATTCATATAAGTTATAAAGATTATAATCAAATCAAACATCATTAAAATTGGGCCAATGAATGGGCTCCAAAATGCTTAAAGGGCCCTCTCAAGGCCCAAAATGTTCTCGTCAATGACAAGAAATAAAACTATTATGGGTCATTTTCTCTCAAAAACTTAGAGCATTTAGCGTTTGTATTTGATTAAATTCTCGATTTATGATCAAGTAATGGCATTATTGTAACTTTATCAAATAATTTTTTCGTGCAAATATGCCACTGATTTAGTAAAAAAAGAAAAAAGGAGTTCTTGATTTGATGATGTGTGAAAAACCGACTCAGAATTCATTCTGCTTTAAATAATGATACTATGATTTTAATATAAGTTTGTCATACATATTAATTACAAGCACAATATTGCAATCGCACTCTTGCGGCAGCAAGACCACGATTGTCCGATATTTGTTCTAACCTAGTGAACAAGTCTATCGTTAAACTTTTAAGAAAATAAAATATTTATAAATTTTCAAATTTCAATAATATCCTTAAAAATTTTAAGAAAATAAAAAAGTACTTAAAAAATTTGATTAATACCCTTTAGCTTTTTTAAAAAAAATTAAAAATACCTCTACCATTACGGTTCCGTAAAAATTTTAAATTAGCATTAACACTTTTGATCTATGTAGAAAAAGGTTAAAAAAAAAACTTACCCTCAATAATATGTACGGAAATCATCTATTGACATCTCATAGATTATTTTCATTTTTAATATTAATTTTGAAAGATCAATTGTATTTTCCAAACGTTATAGCAATATTAAGATTATTTTTGAAGCTTTTAAAATAATTTAAAGATGTTTTAAAAGTTTTAAATTTTTTTTTGAAAGATATTAACAAATTTTTTGAAAACTTAAGGTATTTCTGAGAAAGAAAAGCAAAGTATTCTGATACCCTTTTAAAAGTTAAAAATGACATTTTTGAAACAAAGTAGTAATGACATGAGTATTTTAAAGAGAGGAACAAAAATTTCTTATAAGAGTGTAGAAACCTCTCTCTAACAAACGCGTTTTAAAAACCATGATGCTGATGGTGATACTTAACTAATAAAAACAGATAATATCGATTAGCAATCTATTTCTGAAAGTTGAAGAGTATTTTTGAAACAATGTCCAAGATAATAATATTTTTATTAATTTAATGGGGAGTATTAATTTTACAAGTTGGAACTATGTTTGAATTTAGAAAGGAAAGAGATTTTCCAAGTAGATTAGAGAAGAGAGTCAAAGCAAATCAGGTTGGAGGGAACAAAAAAAATTAGCAAAAAACCAAAGAAACTGTTAAGAAGAACACCAAAAATGTGTTCCAAAAAGTTCGGAGAATCAGTTTACTTTGGAATTGGCTGTCAAATTCCCGTAATTTAGGAGGTCATTCAAATGGATTAATTAAACCAAACCTAAATTTATGAATCAAAGCCCCAAAGCTTTAGCACCTCTCCTTCACATCCCCCGCGACTCCTCTGCCTTCCCTCTTTATACACAAACTTCCCCTGCTCTGATTTCCATTTGCTCATTTTTTTCTTCTTCTTCTTCATTAGGATCTTCCATCAATCCGACCCCAAATGCTTCATTTCAACGCCGTTTCTGTTTATGTTTCGTTGTTTGTTCATAATCATTAGAACATTTCTATTCTTTTCTGTTGTTTGTACATAAAACCCTTTTGAGCAAAGAGAGATTTACAAGAGAATACGTGATTTTTGGTGTTCAAAATTGAAATCCCCTTCATACCCATTATTTCATTTGCGTTGGATTCGTTTTTTTTGTGCCAATCAAGTCTTTTCAAGGCTTGTTTTGGCTACATTTTATGGCTACCGGTGGCTGGTGTGGCTTAGGTCCTCTGCTGTTTCGTAAGAAGGCCTATGGCCTCGAGGTTTGTTCTTCACTTTTGTTGCATCTTTTTCTTATATGTATATTCAAAATCCATGGCTTGTTCTTGTTCTTGTTCTTGTTGTTCTTACGTTCTTCTAATGCTTAACAATCCATTTCCAGAGCCATTCTTCTCTTTCCCTTTTAATCTGCCCTTTCGGGAACTGGGTTTGCTTAAATAAGGTCGAAGTTTTTTTCCTTTCATCTTTCCTTGTATTGTTCATAAATTTATGCGCCCCTCAGATCTTATGATGATCAGCACACACGAAGACTTGACCTGGATGCAAAAAAACATAAAGGGTTGTTTGTTTGGTTTCCTAGAAACATTTCCTCAGAACTTTTCAGCTTAATGATGCATCCTCATCTTGTTTTTGAAGCTTTAACGTAAGATCAAACAAAAACAACCAAAAACCTTTGACATGGGTTATGTTTTTTTTCTTTTGTAGACAATGAGGAGCTCGTCCTACGCATTGTCGAAGAAATATTCGAAGAAATCAAAGCTTTCTAAAGTCGTTAGAAGGAAGAAATCGTCGAGATGCAAAGACAATTTTGTTCAAGTGATGGAGTTGAGGAAGAAAATCTTGGTTCTAAGAGATATCATTGACTTGCCTTCTTTAGAAGCCTCTGCTTCTATAAATGAGGTAAGTTTTGGTTGAATTGTTCTTCAAGTTCAATCTGTTTGAGAAACTTTAAGACACCCAATGATCCAATATTAATGGAAAGTAAAATTTCCAGCTGCTTAATGGCTAAGGCATCAAGAACTTTTCCGAGTTGTAAAAACGACACTATTTGTGATGTTTTTATAATCCAAGAACTTGTAGATTGCTTTGGTAGACCAACAACTTTCTCCTATTTGTTTGATTCATTGAAGCTATTTTGTTCATCTTTTGTTTGAAACATCTTTCATTGGTGATGGATTCTGGCAGCTCGTGGTGGGAACGATGGAAGATCTTCAAAAGCTCTATCCGGAAATCATTTCGGATATCCAATATTCCGAAATGAAGGAGACATGTATCGAACAGGTATGTTACGAAGATCTTGTGGTTTGAACTCTTGAATTTATCTGATGTTGTTTGTTTGAAACTCGAGGAAATAATGTTATGATCATTGCAAATTGTATCAGAGTCTGTCGTACTTCTGCACGACATTGAAATCGATTGGAGATTCGTGGATGATGAATCATGAATGGAAGGACAAGTCGAAATATAATTTGAAATCATGTCAGGAAAACTCTAGCTTCAATGAAATTGGTGAGTTTTCAAGTTTTTTGTGTTTTTGTAGAGAATATTAGGTTCGTAGTTGATAAAAGCGTTTCGTTTATGTAGTTGAATCTGTGTTGGCTATCATTGATTGCGTCGTTAGTATGGCGAACGAAAGGTTTGATGTGATGGACGATTACGTTAATGCAAAGGAATCCTCTTATTCACGGACGAGTTCGTTTGGTAAGAGCACGAGCTCGAACGAATCCTGCTCTGAAAGCAATAGCTCTTGCTGTTCTTCTCCCGAAACGCCCACATCCGTTCTTACAAACATTCGAAACAGTCTAAGAAAATCTTATGAAAAGGAGAAAATATCTTGTAGTTCTCCCCTTTTGTGGTCTCTTAGAGTACAAGCAGTGGAAAAATTGAACCCCATTGATATTAAGCATCTTTTGCTCCCCAAGTTATGTCATTATGGAGTAAACGTCTGCCCCGCCCCGAATAGAGTGGCGATCGTTGAGGAATCAATGACTGCTGTGGATGATAAGCTCATCTCCTCTAAAAAGGCTGATGCCAAAGAAGAGAAGGATTTGAGCAGGGTAGCAAGCCAAAAGGCTGATAGAAATGAAGAAATGGAAGCGAGTGTTGCTAAAGAAGAGAACGATTCGAGCAGGGTGGCCAGCCAACCGGCTGATAGCAATGAAGATACGGAAGTCCGTGTTGCCGAAGAAGAGAACGTTTTGAGTAGGGTGGCTAGCCGACAGGCTGATAGCAATGAAGATATGGAAGTCCGTGTTGCCGACGATTCGAGCAGGGTGGCTAGCCAACAGACTGATAGCAATGAAGATATCCAAGTCAGTGTTGCCGAAGAAGTGAACGATTCGAGCAGGGTGGCTAGCCAACAGACTGATAGAAATGAAGATATCCAAGTCTGTGTCGCCGAAGAAGAGAACGATTCGAGCAGAGTGGCTAGCCAACAGGCTGATAGAAATGAAGATATCCAAGTCCGTGTTGCCGAAGAAGAGAGCGATTCGAGCAGTGTGGCTAGCCAAAAGACTCATAGAAATGAAGATATGGAAGTCAGTGATGCCATAGAAGAGAAGGATTTGAGCAGGGTGGCTAGCCAAAAGGCTGATAGATATGAAGAAATGGAAGTGAGTGATATCAAAGAAGAGAAGTTGATATTGAGCAGGGCAGCTAGCCAAAAGGAACTTACTGAGAGAGCCAATGATATAGATTCCCAAGCTGCTGCAGCTGTTGAAGAGATGCCTGCACCAGAATTACCATCACCACCTCTACCCCTGGTGTTGCCTACTCCGGTACATGCTCCGGAACCCTCTGCAGTCGTCCTCCAACTACCGACACTGTCAGCATTACCGCCGCCACCACCACCGCCACCAATGATGCAGCAAAATGCAGTACTGTCTCAACAACTTCCACAGCTAGCTCCTCCACCACCATTGCCTCAGATCAAGGTAGTCCCAAATGCAGCAGCTCCTATGATACCTCCTCCGCCTCCTCCACCGTCGAAGGGAGTAGGAACACTGATAACTTTGGATGTGCCACCCCCACCCCCACCATCACCATCAAATGCTGGAGGAGCTATACCACCACCTCCACCGATGGCGCCCTTACATGGGGGTGCAGCTGCGACTGTGCCACCCCCACCTCCACCATCACCATCAAATGCTAGAGGAGCTGTACCACCACCTCCACCGATGGCGTCCTTACAAGGCGGTGCAGCTCTAGCACCCCCACCTCCACCAATGGCGCCCTCAAAAGGGGGGGGAGCTCTAGCACCCCCACCTCCACCGATGGCGCCCTCAAAAGGGGGTGCAGCTCTTGCACCCCCACCTCCAATGCCCCAAGGCGGTGGCATGGGTGCACCACCTCCCCCTCCCGGTGGTGCAGCTCGATCCCTGCGCTCCAAGAAAGCCGCTACTAGACTGAAGAGGTCTCATCAGTTGGGAAATCTGTACCGGACACTCAAAGGGAAGGTGGAGGGATCCAATCAAAATCTTAGGGGATCTGGTGGGAAAAAAGGCAGTGGTGGTAGCAGTGCCGGAGGAAAACAAGGAATGGCTGATGCATTGGCGGAGATGACAAAAAGGTAATGTACTATGCATACATACACTAACAAACATCTTAAAGAAACAGAACACTGAAACAGGAAGCTTAACACAAATGTTGTCTCTTTTGGGATGTTTCAGATCAGCATACTTCCAACAAATTGAAGAAGATGTTAAAAACCACGCAAAAGCAATCAACCAGCTTAAACCGAAAATTTCAACTTTCCAGTCATCGGACATGAACGAGCTGATCGATTTCCACCGGAGCGTGGAGTCTGTCCTGGAGAATTTAACTGATGAATCACAGGTTTGTAAGAATTGTGGGTTGCCATGTTTATAATTGTTGCTTTCAAAGTGTGATTCAAAAGAATAGGATGCACTTTCTCATTGTTGAAGGTACTAGCAAGGTTTGAAGGATTTCCCTGTAAGAAGTTGGAAAATTTAAGGACTGCAGCAGCGTTATACTTAAAGTTAGATGCAATTGTCAATCAGTTACAGAATTGGAAGATCGTTTCGCCTGCGGGACAGCTTCTCGATCGAATCGAAAACTACTTCTCTAAGGTAGTCTTTGAAGTATTGATATAAGATTAAATTTATAATTTTTAACGAGTTTCTCTTTTAGAAAAGTGCTTGAGATATTGCACCATGTCATCTATGAACTATGGCTTTTGTGTAACGGTCCAAACTCAACGTTAGCATATGCTGACCTCTTTAGACGGGTTTCCCTTCAAGGGTTTTTAAACGTGTCTATTAGGGAGAAGTTTTTACACCATTATAAAAAATGTTTTGTTCTCCTCCCCAACCAATGTGGGATCTCACAATCCCACCCCCCTTCGGGGCCCAGCGTTCTTGCTGGCACACCGTCTCGTGTCCACCACCTTCGAGGCTCAGCCTCCTCTTTGGCACATCGCCTGGTTTCGTGCTCAATACCATTTGTAACAGCCCAAGCCTACCGCTAGCAGATATTGTCCTCCTTGGGCATTCCCTTTCGGGCTTTCTCTCAAGGTTTTTAAAACGCATTTGCTAGGGAGAGGTTTCCACACACTTATAAAAGAACATTTCGTTCTCCTCCCCTACCGATGTAGGATCTCACATTTTGACTATGCTATAAACATACAGATTAAAGGAGATCTCGATGCACTTGAACGAACCAAGGACGACGAAGCAAAGAGATTCAAGAGTCACGGTATTCAATTCGACTTCAACGTGTTGATACGGATCAAGGAATCAATGGTGGACCTCTCTTCCAGCTGCATGGAGTTGGCTTTGAAGGTGCTCTCACTGAAACTTTGGCACTTAAAAAAGTAAAAAAATGAACTAATTTCATTTCTGTGGTTGATAAAGGAAGCAAGAGAGTTGAAGGCAGCAGCACAGGAGAAGGCAAAAAATGGAGCCAAACCCGATAATAAGAACACTGCAAGTTCTAAGATGCTATGGAAAGCGTTTCAATTCGCATACCGAGTTTACACCTTCGCCGGTGGACACGACGAGCGAGCTGATAGGCTAACCCGAGAATTGGCTCTAGAAATAGAGAGTGAATCTCAGAACCAATGATTTTCTTCTCCTTTCTTATTTTTGGCTTCAAATCACTGAACCATACGAGATTAGCAGTTGGTCTTACACCATATCTAGCATGGCCTTTACGTTGCTTAACTTTTTTCCTCTGTCCGGATAGGACCCTGTAAAAATTATGTAATTAATGTCAGTTATGCTATCCGTACCGTGTATATACGTATATATGTACGTATTTACAAATACAACTGCTCTGAACTCGAAATACGTACTGAAAACCAATCATGAGTTCGAATGTATACGTAAAGTTCTTAACCATGCAAAAGATTTCTTATGTTTAAGCTTCATCATCCTATTATATATTCAACTTCTAAAGAGGTTTATATGAGAGCTTTATAACTCATGCTTATAGTGGTTATCTTGTAGTTATAAAAACGAGACGATCAAGAAGCTCGAGATGAAAGTCGAGATAGGAGAATATAGTTCTCTCACGATTGTTAGTTCTGGTTCGAGACGTAGTGGACGCTCACAATAAACTCAAGCGACAACGGGTCACGGTTTAGGAGAAACAAGAACTTGTATTTTACAAAACCTATCCATATCTATACGAAGCAATATTATGTATTGCACCAATAGTACCCTTACCAAATGTGAGATCCACATCTGTTGAAGAGAGGAACTAAACATTTTTTACAAGGGTGTGGAAACCTCTCCCTAGTAGTCACGTTCTAAAACCGTGACGCAGACGTCGATACACGTTCTAAAACCGTGACGCAGACGTCGATACGTAATGGGTCAAAACGAATAATATTTACTAGCGGTGGGCTTGGGCTGTTACAAATGGTATCAGAGCTAGACACCATGTGGTGTTCTAGCAAGAACACTAGGCCCTTAAGGGGGTGGATTGTGAGATCTTTGGGCCCTCGAGGGAGTGGATTGTGAGATCTTACATTGGTTGGATAGGGGAACGAAACATTTCTTATAAGGGTGTGGAAACCTCTTCCTAGTAGATGCGTTCTAAAATTGTGAGGTAGACGCCAATATGTAACGGGCCAAAGCGAACAATATCTGCTAGCGGTGGGCTTGGACTATTACACCAATATACTAATCTCAACTATTATAATAATGTCGTTACTGCTATTCCTACTATTAACGAGTGCTAAGACTATAATAATGCCCTTAATTATTACTGCTACTACAAGTATAGCTACCTCAAACACTATTACTTCTTCTATCATTTACCTATTAGGATCGCACAACAATGCACACACTCCATCTAGATGAACACAAAGAACAGAAGAAAGATCTACCATCTACTTGTTAGAATCGCACAACAACGCACACTCGATCTAGATGAACACAATGAACAGGAGAGAGAAAATTCATTGAGAAATATTAGCTAAATGTTTTATTGATGACTTCATGTCTATACACCAAGAGAATACAGAGAATGAAGAGAGAATGAAGAAAGTACATTTTGGAAGCACTGGGTATATATATGGTTGTTTACTAAATATAGCTTTAACATATACTAAATATATCTTTGGCCGATCTTTTATTATAAATATCTATCATATATATCTTTACCCGATCGGTTACGAAATGGGCATTAACACAAAGCCCTTATTGATTGAAAAGACAATGTAAAGTAACCGAAACGCCACACCTACTGACCTTTTGGCTGAAGTTCGATCTTCATCCCTCCAATGGTGACCTTGTCTCCACCAACCTTAGGGTCGAGCCTCACAATCACACTCTCATCGTCCTCTATTCCCAACTCTTTAAGCACCTCCGTTATCACAACTCGTAAAGACGTCTTTCCACGGTGGTTGTGACCATGCGGGACGGTTGTAAACGTTCCTACAAACTCAGTATTCCCCGGACACACATCGGAGCCATCATCAACAACATTAACAAGCACATTAAAATGAACCCAAAATCTCTTATCCAATTCAATGCCTTCTATCACCAATACCTCATCTTTCTCACTCTTTTCCTTTTCATTCATTAATTTGTTCGGTCTCTTCACCGTTGTGGTTACCATTGAATTGAGACCCTGAGGAAATTTAATAACTTGTGGAGCTTGCGTTGTTTTTAGCTGCTTTTTTAGACGTGGGGTTTGCTTAGTATGCAGCCATGGAAGATCTACATATTGGTAAACATATCCAAGCCTTCTAGTGTCCAAACAATCACGAACTTTGATGCGTACAGCTTGTTTATGCTCATTATAGAACACAAACGAGGAATTCAACCAATCGGGGTTATCAAAATCTCTTGCCTTCCCATTCTTTAACCCTTGCCAAATGCTCCACATGCGATCCACATTCGCATGATGACCATAAAACAACGGATCTCGAGCTGCCGAGTAAAACGCTCCCATGTTCATATGGTTCTTGGCGTTTGGATCGCCAACCCAATTGTGAATATTATTATGAGGAGATTTCTCAATGGTACCCATCCCAGTTTCTTCATTAGCTTCATGAGATGCAATGAGTAGCTTTCCATGGAACCCTTCAGCAGTATTGGCGTCCGTTATCATTTGCTTATGCATCCACCGGAGATTAGAATCGACGACGTCGTATGAAGGGTTGTCGTCGCCGTGGTAGTTAAGGTTAAGCAATTTATGTGGCCTATGCCTTTGATTACGTAGCTTGTCATAGAGTGGCGAATTTGGGTGGTCGTAGATTTCTGGCATTTGCATACCTTCAGTATTATCCCAATTCCAAAAGGGTATGACGAAATTTGGTTCGTTAATTAAATGGCCTAAGATTCTCTCGAAGAAGTAGAGGTAAGCTCGGTGAAATGGGAAGAACAAAGCGTTCCAATGGACTTGCATTTCGGCGTTTGGGAAGCCTAATTGTTTGTAGGCATAATCACAATAGGCACAGTGAACATCGGCTTGCCTGTAAAAGTTACGAGGGTCGTTGGGAGGGAGGCGTTTCATGATATGAATGGCTTTCTCGAAGTTGAATTGTTGCTTTGGAGTAAGCGAGTGGGCGGGTGGGCGAATGCGGAGTTTTGTTGTGTGTGGTGGATGGATGAAATCAATGATATCATGGATTTTGGGAGGGCAGCATGGGATGTGTTCGTTGCCTTCTATTGTGGCTGCCTCGCAGTTGTTGACGTCGGGTGCTAAAGGTGCTGCGGACGCAGGGCTTTGTTGGTTGGTTAGAGCAGCTGCACCATAAAGTCCGCCCAGTCCAAACAGCACATCTCTTCGGTCAAATTTGCTTGTGGAGTCTCCATTGGAGGCTCTGCATGGAACCTGGTTGATGCCACGGCTTTTGTTTTGAAGGTTGGATGTTTGGTTTTTGATTTGGGAGTATGGGAGAATGGATAGAAGAGGAGATATAGAAGCCATTGTTTTGAGTGGCATGTTCGGAGATTTTGATGGGATATATATATATGTACATGTGTGTGTCATTGAATTGACTTGAACGAGTAGCCGATGCAAAGAGTACCCACACTCCCAATAATCCTTCTCTCGAACAAAGTACACTATAAGTCTCTCTTGAGGCTTATGGAGCTCTCGAATAGCCTCCCCTTAATCGAGGCTCGAATCCTTTCTCTGGAGCCCTCGAACAAAGTACACCCTTTGTTCGAGGCTCACTATTGGGCATGACTCTGATACCATGTTAGGAATAACGGAACTTCACAATGGTATGATAGTGTCCACTTTGAGCATAAGCTCTCATAGCTTTGCTTTAGGCTTCTCCAAAAGGTCTCGTACCAATGGAGATACTATTCTTTGCTGATAAACTCTTGATCATTTTCTAAATTAGCTTATGCGGGACTCCCCACAATCCTCAACAATACTATTATTAATAGTGTCTCAGGTGCGAACAAAGAAGTTCTGAATCTCAAAATTAGTATAGTCATAGTGACTCAAGTGTCGAAGTCGAATAAAGAAGTTGTGAGTCTTGAACGGCTCCTTATGAGCCTCGAATGTGTAATCACAGTGAAGCTAATTAAGATGAAGATCAAGGGTAAGTAAGGTATACTCCCGTCAATAGTGACTAGGTGTCGATAAAAAAAGTTGTAAATCTCGAAAGTATAATCATAGTGACTCAAGTGTCAAAGTCAAATAAAGAAGTTGTGAGCCTCGAACGGCTTTTTACGAGTATCAAATGTATAGTTCTAGATGGTATGGTTACTATATATACCAACAACAAACATCTCTTTTCGATGGCTTAAACAGCAAACTTGAAATTTAAACATATTTGACTCGGACCAAACAATATTGTAAATTATACCAATAATACCCTTCCCAATATACTAATTTCGACGACTATAGGACTGCCCGTGTACCGCTATTCCTACTACTAAATAGTACAATAATAATGCCTTTAATTACTATATAGTACTAATACTATAGTAATGCCCTTAATTACTACTACTACTACTGCCAACCCTAACACTGTCACTTTTATATCTAAATGTATAATACAAATATAACTAATTCCATACAATTATTTTATAAAATATATATATATATATATATGTATAGGTATATACACGCTAAACGGGAAAATTTATGTCTTAATGTCTCGTAATTAATAATTATTTGAATTATTTTATTTGCAGTAAATATTATCCATTATATAAAAATTTCAAGGGTGTTAAAGTAATTTCATATCAGGTTCAAGCTCTACATTTTTCCTTCTGACTTTCATGGTTTGGCGGCCTAAATTAGTTTAGCCCGAGTAGTTAGTTTAATTAGGTTGGGTTGGAAGAAGTAAGAGTTGTAGTACGTTGAGATGAACTTTGGGGACAAGATTATGTGTTTGCTAATAAATAACGGTCTATACATTTGAATAAAGTTCGGTTAACCTAATGCAAGCTAAGCTAAGCTAAGCTAAGACCACGATTTTCAAGCTAGCTACGTGGAGTTAGATGAGATCAAGTCGTTATTCCTTTGTGCTTAAGATGGAGCATTGCTTCCCGACGAGCATTGATTTCAGTTTGGGAGTTTGATTGCTCGTTAAAAAATAAGTTATTTGCACTCAATATCTCACATTGACCTTATTGAGTTGATGTAAGAAAAGATTTGTTTCGAGCGAGAACCATGAATAGCTAGAAGATATAATGATCTGTAGCACATAACCGTGTAGCGAGATTTGAAAAAGTAGCAGACATATGATAGCTTGTTATTCGAAATAGCTTTTATAAAAGGAAGAACTATCGGTCAAAGCAATTCTCCATGCCTTGGGCCGAGTGAATAAGTAATGCATAAAAGTATTTCAAAGTCATATCGACATAGGTGCTCAACCCAATTGATGGTGTTAATATAACACATGCGGAAGTAATTTGGATCTTAGGCACTTTTAGAACATCAATTATCGTAAATAACTAGCATGTTCATAAGTATTAAAACTTAAGGAGTTTAAATATTAATCTTTTGTAGTTCAAACTCCTTTTGCCTCACGAACGGTTTCGAACCACCACTAGTGTCTTCTCCACTATCCTCCGGCCTTAGAACGGGATTGTGGAATCCGGTGAGTGACTAAACTTGAGAGGGATTTTGTATATGTGAAGAGAGTGTTTGTGAGAGGTTTTTCTCAAGGTTTTTCACCAAGATTAAGAAGACCTTTCATGTATTATGATCACTCTATTTAAAGAGTCATGTTTGCATGTTCATGTAAATTTGAGATCACCAAATTTTGACACTTAAAATTCCACTCAAATATTTGGGATTATGGGGCAAGCATGCATGTTTGAGTTAACCAAATTTTGACACTCAAAATTCCACTCAAACTTGTGGGGTTTATTTGGCAAACATGCAAGTTTGGTTAAACCAAATTTTGACACCTCAAAATTCCACTAACATGGATTTTTCCATTAGATGAAAGTCAACATTTTGACCTTCTTCATTTTAATTCAACAATTAATTTGAATAATGAATTTCAAATTAAAGTAACATTAAATGATTAATTAAATTATTTAATTAATATTTAATATTAATTCAAATGCCAATCTCAATCAATTCCGACACATAATTGATTAAGATATTTAAATCTTATTTAAATATCTCAGATTCTCTCTTTTTGTTTAATTCGTAAATAAAACAAAATTGCGGTTAAATATATCGTATATATGTAACGCATATTCCCTAATTTGAATTCGAACACTTCGAACCCACTCGTCACACTGTTCTATGGTTTAGTCCGATATGAGCTAGCAGAGGGACCTAATGGACCTATAGATCATGGGCTCCAACGATCCAAGATTAACCGGTTAAACTCATTAACCTGGTTAACCAACATTCGTTAATTACTAGGACACTCCACTATAGCCTAGTAGTTGCACTCCCCTCACTATAGATATATTTCTGTCCATCTGATATAACCATGATTAGTAAGTCGATCATTCACAGGTTGTTCGTAACAAGAGCTGGGTCAATTTACCGTTTTACCCCTGAAGTTACTTCTTGTTCCTTATGTCTCACTGATCCTCTAATGATCAATTGGTTTGTGGTCCAACCAGTAAACCGAATCCCTCTCAGGCCAATGAGAGGGTGGGGCCCCTTGTTCAAGACCTGGAGTCAGTGCTTAAGGGAACTACCTTTCTTCTATCCCTAAAAGTGGGTAGGAG